AAACTCTTTGACAGTCAGATTCATGAGCTTTTCCATGCAACAGCCAGAAAAGATGCACAGGCAGCTAAAACATTGCTTAGTTACAAAGTGTAAACGTTTCTAAACTATTGACAGAGGGAAAATGCTAGTTTTAGACTCCATGCTGGCCTGAAACAAAGTAGTAATCAGTGTTCTAACATTAATCATAGAACTGTAGAACTGGGACCTCAACAATTTTAGTCCAACCCCCTGCAATGCAGGAATCTCAGCTACGTCTCTTATATTTCACCTGCTCCATTTTGAATTTTAAAAGTTTAAAATCAGATATATAACCATAATATACTCTTCCTTTCTTAAAGGGTTGTTTGAAAAAATTAATTAATTAATTAATCAATCAATCAATCAGAATTTCTTGGAAATAAAAATCCAACACTATGGAAAAGGAATGTTACCATTAGCACATGATTCCCCCCCTTAAATATATAATCTTTCATTTAAAAAAGTTAAAGATAGCTCCCAATGCAAATGTTATCTGCATTTATTTATTTACATTACTTATAACTCACACTTCACGTGCAAAACCATTGGGAGGATCTCAAGGTTCACCATTCCTGCCATGATCTACTCTTCAGTTATCCAATTAAATTCCTTCATTTATATAAAAAAAGTTATAATATATTTATAAAAATAGTTATATCAACAAAAGAGGGGGATATCAGAAAGGTTCCGAACAACTGTATCTATATACAATAACAACCACATAAACATATAAAACAAGAGGACAACAGCTGTTATGGAAAGGTGTTTTCTTTATTGCCTCCATAAGCCTGGCAACATAGGGAAATTTTTCAGAAAGGTTTTAAAGGCTGAAACAGAAAGCGCCTGGTGAAATCTCTGCTGGTGGAGCATTCCACAGAACTGGACCACCGACACTAAAAGCTCCATTCCATGTTGTTAGATGAGTCTCACTAACTAGGAACAGCCAAGGTGGTGCTGAAAAACATTCTGCACCACTGGTCTATATATCTGTATCTAAGCTTGCACTCCACTGTTTTCTATCTCATAAAATAGTATCAGTTGCATCCCTGAGACCCAGAAGTCACAACATTGATGAACAAAGCAAAAAGATTGGAAGATTACAGCTGAAATTATCTTCCTTGTTTAGGATTGCTCCTATTCTCTTTCTTTACAAGATGGGGACCATTTGGTGTACAAAGCAGAAGGATGGGAGAACATGGGGGCCACTAGCTGCTGTATGACTACAATTCCCACCATCCTTAATTATTTGTCCATGCTGACCAGGGCTGATGGGACCTAAAGTCTCACAACATCTTCAGCAAGTTACCTCCTACAGCATTCTTTCCCCCTCGGATCCAGCTGTTTTAAAAGAAAGCATTTGGTTTCTTGAAGCTCCTCATTTTTCTGCCTCAAAAAAGTCCACATAAAAAATAATACACTCAATTTGTGTGCACTGTGTTGTTTGATGCACACATTTTTGTGCTAGTTTGACTAATATGTGCCTTTTGTCTGACTGTACACTTCACCATATACATATGGGGGCGTGGGGGATGGGGGTTGCAGAACAACACCACAAAATTCAGAGCAGTTCAAATTTCAAAGGATAGCTGTGTTTCACTTCACTGATCAGTTTCAGAGAGTGTGAGTTAGGTCAGTTTCACAACTAAAAGGCGAGCCAGGTAAGTTTCTCAAACACCCAGAGTTTAAAAGTGAGAGTGGGGCAGAAAGAAGGATTGTGGCTCAGTGGCAAGGCACCTGCCCTGCATGCAAAAGGCCCCAGCTTCAATTGCCAGCATATCCAGGTAGGGCCGGGACCATCACATTCTCAAAATCCTGGACAGCAGCTGCTGGTCTGTGTGGACAATATTCAGCTAGGTGGACCAATTGTCTGACTCAGCACAAGGCATCTTGAGTGGGAAAGTGGAAGGAGAGTTAAAGTCTCTCTCCCCCCACCCACTTTTTGCTGTGGCTTCTGTTTTCTTTGCTTCGGGACAGACTCCTCTGAGTGACAGCAATCTTGTAGGTCAAGTATAGGGCAGTCGAGATAAAGAAATAAAAACACTGTAATGTGGCAGGAATGACAGAAAACAGCCCCAGAGACAGAAAAAAAGAGAGGGAAAAAAGCATCTGCTGCCAGAACAGTGTGTGAGAGAAAGGGAATCCCCTCCTTTTTCCTTTAAGAGATCTATGGCTTGGTAATAACAATAAAGTTTAAGCTATATTTAACATTTGCATAGCTCTGCAGACTCTTTCATGTATATCATTTTGCTATAGTCCTTACAACAACCCTGCAACATTGAGAAGTATTTATTTATTGTCACATTGCAGAAGCGAGGGTGAGGGTGAGGGTAAACTAAGACTGAGAGAGTGGGAATAAAAATATGCAATACAAGGGTAAAATTCTTGCCTACCTTACAAGGTTGTTGTAAAGAATGCAGCAAAACACAGTAAATTATTTGAACCAGGGGCTTCCTCAGCGGTATCTCAGGGTACTGCCACAGGTTTAATAGAACTCATTACTGGCTCTCATTACTGACACCCCCCCCCCCGAAGAAGCACTATAGTGTACTGGTTAGAGTGCCAAAATAGGCAAGGAAGACCTGGATTCAAGTTCACACTCATCCATGAAGCTCACTGGGACATGCTGCCATCTCTCAGCCTTATCAACCTCACAGAGGTGTAGATATAAAAGTTGAATAGTGGGGAGGAAGAACAAATGTATATTGTCTTGAGCCCCTTGGTGGATAGTCAATATGAAACTGTAATAAAACAAATTAAAAGTGTTCCAAATCACAGACTTTCATACTCATATCCCAATACTCTATCTCTAGGGAACAGGGCAAGCCTCTCAAGTCCAACTCCACCAGAGAATATATTCCCCATTTCTCTCTCTTTACTCTTCCCAAGAACAGAGGGATATGTACTGGATGTGTCCAAGCTTCTCCCGGGGCCTCGTTGAATGAAAAACAAGACACATGTTCCAAGACCTCATGATTAATAAAGCTTACAGTTCAACAGTATTTTTTTTCTTTGGGGGGGGGGAGCGCCAAAACTTTTATAGTGCAACATGATATTGTAGTCAGCTGTTGACATTTGCAATATTGGAAAGAATTTCAAAAATGCTGAAAAAATGTGTGTGCTTTTGGGAAAAAAAGATCCTTCACATATTCTGCCCCGTTGCGCGATGAGGTTTGGGAACTGCAAGCGCTCATGAATTATCACTTTTTTAAAAACTGCCAGCACTTTATACAGTTAAAAAGCACTGCTTTAGGAAACCACATGCTTATTCTAACATCAAATAGCAAAAGTAAAGCAGGGAAGCTTTCCAACATATTTGGAAAGTGAGAACCTTTAAAGAGAGGAAGATAAGCTGCCTGTCCAATCCACTGGAGTACATGTCTAAAGAGACATCATTTCCCCATGATCCTATTCAATATTTCTCTTTTTTAAATGTCCCATTATGAATTCACTGGTGAGGGGAGGAATAAGCTATATCGAAGGCTAACAGGACTCTTGAACAAAAATGAGCAGGATCCAGTAAAAACTTCACCGGGTTATATCCGGCGCTAGTCTTACGCAGAGTAAACCCACTGAAATTCATGGACATGACTAAGTTAGGTTCATTCATTTCACTTGGTCTACTCCGAGTAGCACTTAGATTGGGTACAACCCAAGGATTCCTATAGGACAGAGCCAGTGTACGCTTTACTTAGAAGGCAAGCCCACCCAGTTCAAACGGTTTACACAGGAGGAGGACTAACTTTTTCCTGCCACATCAGCGTGCTTTCCTTGACTGCTGCCCGATCCAGCAGCGCACGTGTACTTAGGGATAAATCCCGCGGGTTTACAGCACAATCCCAAACACACCTACTCTGGAGTAAATCATATTGAATTCAGTGGGCTTCACGCTCAGATTCAGCGGGGCTAGGATATTGCAGTCTTATGCCAAAGCAGCCGTGCTTAGGACTGAAACCTTTTTACAATACGCTCCAACTCACGTGGACTAATAAGTAAGTTACCGTTCCTTCCCATACCAGCGGGCTTACTCTCAAGTAGGGGCGTCCGATAGGGAGGCACCGTTAAACGCGTGCGGTTAACTCATCGAAAATGTATGAAACCACACTTAAAAGGCAGCTCTTAGGCAGGATCGGGATCAACCTGTCTAAAGGGGAGACGCATAACGCCCTCTCCACCTTATCTCATCCCTCGCTCGCTCGCTGGCCCCTGGGCTATTCTCCTAGCCACGTTTCTTCGGAAGTAAGCACAAGGAAGAGGGTGGGTTTTTTGTGTGGGGCGGGGGGAGTTTAGCCTGCTGGATCAGGCCAAGGGCCCGTCTAGTCCATCATCCATTTCTCAAAGTGGCAAAGCAGATCCCTATGGGGATCCCGTGAGCAGTACCTGTGCATAGGTTTCTTTCCTCCTGCGGTTTTCCCCAAACTTCCTAAGTTTCTGCCCATTCACAAAATAGAAGAGACAGACAGGCGTGCATGCATATACTGGAGACACAACAGCACGTGGCTTTAAAGAAACAACAAACCACGACATAAACACTCAAGAGCCTCCTCCCGCCCGCCGTACACTTCGCATTCAACCAGAGTTGAACAGTAAGTCCAGATGTGGCACGCACAAACGTGGTCTAAACGTCGCCAACGTTCAACACGTAATTCCTTTGGGCAACGGATAAGATCCAACGCCAGTTCCACTCGTAGTAGACCCGTGGACCCGAATGAATACAGCTGAAGTACATTCATTTCAAAGGATTGGATCTCCCGTCAGTCTCACTCAGAGTAGAGGTCTCGAAATCCATGCGTAAAAATCTAACAAAATACATTAATTGCAATGGGTTCTTCTCAGAATAGACCCCGTGGAACGAATGGTCATGCCTAACTGAATTCCATCCGTTCCAATGGATCTCCTCTGGAGTAGAACTGGAGTGCTCAACCCAAGTGTGTGTGGAGGGGTAGGTGTCTCTGGACGCCCCCAGTAGAGGAAGTCCTGCTTACCTGCGACGACCGCCGGAGTCTTCTGCCCGCCCTCGGGCCGTAGCCACGCTTGGACCGTGAAGGCATCCCGGGGTAACTCCACCTCCGCCTTCAGCCGCAGCTGGTCGCCCTCGCCGCGAAAATAGAGCGCTCGGCTGACTGCCGGCTGCTCCCCGCCCTCCTGAGCTCGCCTCCTGCGGCGCGGAGCCCGCGGCGCCTCCGGCCCGCCTGCGCCCGCGGAGGAGCGTCTACCCCGGGCTAACCTGGTGGCGCAGGTGCCCGGGGCGGGGTAAGGCGAGTGGAGAGCGGCGTGTTGCTGCGCCGCCGCCGCCGCCTGCTGCTGCTGCGCCGCCTGCCGGGTGTCCCTTCGAGCCCGGCCGGAGCGCTCGGCCAGCCCGCACTCGGCGCCGCCGGCGTGGGCTGCCGCCGCCGCGGCCGCGCACACCAGCAGAAGGGGCAGGAGGACGCTCCGGCGCTGCATTTCCAGGCTTCCCCCCCACCCTGCTCCCTTGGAAGTCCTCGCGTGCTGCCAGGTTGGGGCTCCTCCTCGCTTTGCGCTTCACTCTTCTGAGGGACTCGCTTTTTTTATAACCCTTCTCAGTGGCTTCTCCCCCCCCCCCTTTTTTTTTTTTTTTGCTTTGAGGATTTCTCTTTCTCCCCCCTCACCTTTTGAAACCAAAATAAAAATGAGATTTTTAAAAACTCAGAGCTTGTCGTCTCTCTCGGTTTTCTTCCTGCCTCCTCCTCCTCCTCTCCTCCTCCTCCTCCTTCCCTCTCTCCCTCTCTCTCTCTCCCTTTCTCCTTTTCTCTTTTCCCTCCTTCTTTAAAAAGAAACAGCTTCGGCTCCAAAGATTCGAGCACACACGAGGTTCCCTCCCCCTTCCCAAAAGATGCTCTAATTCATTTAATTTTTCTCTCTCTCTCCCTCTTTCTTTTTTGGTGCCTCCTTTATAACGTAAGCCACAGCCCCCTTTCTCCCCCTTCTCCCCCTCCTTTCTTCTCCACTTAAATGAAAGGGGGGAAGAGAAAGAGTGGGGGGAAGTTGCCCCCTCCAAGATGATGAGTAAACAAGAAATCTATTGGGGGGGGAGGGTGCTTCACCTCGACAGAGAGATTCCCCCCAAACTGCAGTGATCGTGACTAATCAATCACTTTGAAGTAAGCGAGGTGGGGGGGTTAGAGAGAGCTACATAGGTTTGAGCACTTCGGCGGGGTCTTACAGCACCACCTTCGCTGTTACTTCCCTTATTTATTCGTATTTAAAAGGGGCAGTCAACGTGAAAGTAGTATACTCCAATGTGAATTTCCACCAGAGGTGCTTTAAAACCTGTCCCAAAATACACGCACGCACACACTCCTACCCCCCCCCAACACTCACGCACGCACACCACTGCGCTGTACCCTTTTTGGCACTTCTCTCGCACCCCCCAACCACCCCCTTCTCGTGAACCTCTCTGCACTTTGCTGGTGAACCTCATTCTTATACATATTATTATTTCTTCCTACACCGCATAAAGAGTGTTGAAACTTGATTCTCTTTCTCTCTCTCTCTTTCTTTCTTTTTGCGCGCTCTCTCTTTCTCCCTCTCCCTCTCCCCTCTGTATTAAATCCCCCCACCAATATTATTTCCTTTAAAAGTTATGAAATCGCCAGCCAGAGCTGCCCCCTTTCGTGGTCCCCCCTCGGAGCAGCTAGACGGTGCAGCTAACCCAGAGCGTTGCATCCAAGGTTTCCCATCGGATCGCCGGGGGGGGGGGGGGAAGGGAGAGGGGGAAAGCCGTTTGCCCTTCCAGAAGCTGGAGCAAGGAAAACGAATAGGTGTGCGGAGGGTTTGCCTCTTCGGTTCTCCTTCTCCCAAGAAAAAGAAATCTCTCATCGATTTAATTTGTGCTTTTCATTCAGAAAAACTAAAACACTGATGTTGGAGACTGTGTTGTTGTTTTTTAATTCAAATATCAGATTTGTTCTTTAGCTCCTGAGTTGTTCCTCTGCTTCCGTTAAGCGGAGTGGTAGCTACAGGTAAGACACTGAACGTTTATTCGTTTGTGGATCTGTTTCTCAGCTGGGACGTTTTTTGGGGGTGCGGGATTGTTGTTTTGTTTTGTGTGTGTATATATATACAGTATATGTTTCTTTAAAGACCTCAAATGCTCCCCCTGATGGCAGCAAAGAGGATTTCCCAATCCTCCTCCTAAGTAAGTGGAAAAGAGAGGGGAGAAAGTCTTTCAAAGGCACCAGCTACAACCCCATTCAGAAAACACACGAATAGAATCTTGGCACACACACCCCCATCTCGTTAATTCACGTGTCCATTAATTACCCTTCAACCGGGGCGGAGTGTCTCTGTGTGGGGGGCGTAGGGGAGGATAGCAGCAACCCTATAACACCTTTCTAGAGGCAGCCCCAGAGCACAGACAGTCTGGAAAGGGATTTGTTTTGCTTTTCGTTGCCACTTTTAGGAAATATAGACCGGATTGCCATCAGTCTCAGTCTCTCTCACTTTCTGCTTCAGAAATCATTCTCTCTGGTCTTCTGTGCAAATGGGGGTGCTGGTTTGGCTATATTTTTAATAGCCCCAAAAGTCTTGTGCCCAGCATTTCCCACAGACTGATACCTCCCCAAATGTGCAAGCCTACATGTGCACCAAATGCGCAAGTCTCACTGTGCAAGCTACTTTATAATCGATAAAGCTACTTTATAGATTATAATAGTGGGGTGCATACACACAATGCACAACACCCTAGAAACTGTAGTTTGATAAGGATGCTGACAATTGTAATGACCGTGAGCGGTAAACTACAGTTCCCAGAATTCCTAGACCACAGCGCCACCCGTGTCCCTAAAGGTTCCTGACTTTTATTCTGCATCAATATCTATTTAATAATAATAAACCCTATGCAACACCCCCCCACACACACTTTTTCCCTTTTACTTAGGTTTTTATAAGGTGGCCCAAATGGGCTGCCTTCTACATTTCTTTCTTGCTTTTAAACCATGGATGGGGAACGTGTGGCCCTGCAAATATTGTTGGACTCCAAATCCCATCACCCCAGCCAGCTCAGTCAATAGTCAAGCATGATGGGAGTTGCAGTGAGTGGTGGCTGGTGCCTGTTGGGACTGGCAGGGCAGTAGGTAGGAAGCCCAAGTAGAAGGTGGACCAGGAGCCAATGACACATGGAGCCAACTAATTCATCTTTTGTCCCCATGCTTCTTGCTTACAAGAGCAACATTGAGACTAAGGAGGAAGAAGCTGACAACTGCTCCTGGACTAACCTGATGTAAGAAGGCAGGCAGGTGGGAGCTGGCCAAGGGCAGACTGAGATAGGTATATCAGATAGACCAAGGGCAAATGTTGCTACAGTACAACAAGTGGAGACTGGTTCATTTACCCCAATACCATGGGGCTTCAAACTCCCTGTCACTGCTTTACATTGATAGCCGATTCCACTGTGGCATGGGGGCAGTCCACTGTGCCCCCTCCCTCCCAGGGCAATTTGCAGCTCTGCATTTCAACCCACATGGTAAGAGCTTTGTTTCTGGGACAACCTATTGGCAACATGAGCCACCTCAGTTGAAAGCATTCTACTGTCTGCCAAATTTCTACTGAGCCGCTTTACTACTGGTGTACAAAACACTAAATAGTTCTGGACCAGGGTATCTGAGAATCCAGCACACATCCTACATCTTGGACCTGGTTGACACCAACAGGGAGGAACTGATTGACAGAGTGGAAGTACTCAGAAACTTAGGAGGATCATGTCCTCCTGAGTTTCATGATAAAGAGGCGAGGGAAAGCAAAGTATAGTCAGACATGCACTTCGTTGTTGTTGTTTCGTTAGTTTTTTAATAATTATTTTCAGTTTTATACATTTCAACAAAATTTTACAATCGTTTTAACATTTCAAAACTTGACTTCCTTCCCCCTCTTTCTGTGGTTCCTTAAATTTATTTTTGATATTTTCTGTATATCCAAATTAACTTAATTTGCTCATTTATTCATCTACTTTAAATATATACTCTTATAAAACTGCAGGTTGTTACAATAATCCTGCCAATGTTCTTATCTGTTTACAATTTGTTTGCAAATATTCCACAAATCATTTCCATTCTTTTATAAAAAAAAGTTTGTCATCTTGATTTCTTCCCAATACCATTCCATTCATGACTTTTCCCCCAATGTTTATTTCAGTTTTCATTTGTATACCACCTTTTTATATTGCTAGATGCAAGGCTGTTTGCAAGCTGAAGAAACAACAAAATACACAAGATCTTATAACAATCCAATTCAATACAAATAAGTCATAACTTTTATTTTCTCCCAAGCCTTCCCAATATAAGCCTATTGAATTGTATTTTAAATGTTTAAATTCTGCTTTTATTATTTGTTTTGTTTTTAATATTCTATTTCTGTATTTCACTTTTTAAGCAGAATGTTGGCGAATTCAGGACAGATAAGATAAAGTACTTCTTTGTGCTGCGTTCAGCTAAACTATGGAATCTGTTACCACAAGAGGTCATGATGACCACCAACTTGTATGGCTTTAAAAGAGGATTAGACAAATTCATAGAGGATCAAGCTATCAATGGCTAGTAGCTGCAATGGTAGTATTCTACCCTACTGTTAGAGGCATTAATGCCATTTGCGGGGAACTACAAATTCTGTTGATCTCATTTCCTGCTTGTGGGTTTCCCATAGGTTGGCCACTGTGAAAACAGGGTGCTAGACTAGATGGGCTTTGACCTGGTCCAGCAGGGCTCTTCTCAGCTGATTTATTGTTTAGTTGTGCTGTATTTTGAATTTTTATGTTTTATTGTCAGGTGGCATTGACTTCTGTTTGAGAATGCAAGCTGTTTAGTGGAAGACACTCATGCAAAGCAGATGCTCTACCACATATGCTCTACAGCTCTTCCACAGGTGTTCTGGGAAGCAGCTCCATGCATAGGGCAGTGGAGGCTGGCTCATTTGGACAAATGGGGCATTGCCCCACCAACCTCAGCCTGCTCTCTTCTGCCTGCCTTCCAACAATCAGCCCAGCAGATGACCCTGCCTGTCTTCTTCCTCCTCCTCAGTCTCAGTGTTGTCCTTGCAGAACTCAGCAGGGAGGAAGATGGGGCAAACATAGAAAGAATTGACTTTGCCTGTCATCGGCTCTGGTGCCACCTGCTGTTGGTCTCCTGCCTTCCACCCTACCAGCACACATGAAAATCTATACTCATTTTTCTGTGCATTTCCCCCCCTAAAATGCGCATTTTTGTATGCAATGCCACTTGTCCAAAGTAATTTAATATATCTGTTTTGAAGTAATGTTGGGTGTTTTTTTAAATAAAAAATTCTAAAAGAAAATTTTAATGTAACTTTAAATATCTTTATGTACAGCATAAAGGCAGATTTCATGCAGAGGCAGTTTTACAAACAAACCAACAAACCAACAAGATTTCCACTGCCTTGTTCTGAGGTAGACCATTGGCCTGTCTAGATTAGTGTTGGATACACTGCCTGACAGCAACTCTCCAGAGATTCAGAAAAGGCTATTTCCCAATCCCACCTGCAGGTGTAGGAATGAATTTGGGACCTTATGCATTCAAAGCTTCTGCTCTGTTACTGAACTGTAGCCCACCTAACATTCCAGTCCT